TTACTCTATTGATCAATGCATTCTCTTACTGTCCAACCTTCTCAGAGGGATCAAAATCAGACAGTGAAATATTCCTGCAGTAAATCTCTGAAAAGGTGTGACCAATTAGGTTGATGATCCAGATCCAGATGGACCAGTAGTCTAACATTGTGTTCAACTAAAATGTGGTTGGTTTCATTTTGATTCAGCTGTAGTCCATGCAGCAAACCACAGTTACCTAGACAGGTTTAGCATGCTGTATGAGCTCAGCCACTGTTTTCTGTAAATCAGTTTATGGTTTGATGTGATATATGAGCTCAGCCATATATTATTAAAGAAACCAAGATTAAAACAAACCATGCCTAAATGAAGAATTGTGCACCTTCTGTCAGCTTGAGGGCTGTATCACACTCAACATCTGGCATGTTGAAGATCACTCTCCAAAAGTGGGTGGGCCCAGGATCTATTTGAGGAAGTGATTTCAGAAGTTTTAAGGGATGAGGTAGGTGCCTTAAGCTTTATAGATGCCCTCTGAATTTGCCCAAACCTAAATAAATAAATAAATAAGTAAGTAAGTAAGTAAGTATGGGCTCTGCATTTTTGGATTCACTGCATCTGGGGGCGGGGTGGAATTCTGTGGACCACTTTATTACATCTTTGCTTTGCTGTGATGTGTGACAGTACAAGGCAATTTTGTATGTTCCTAATCTCTTCTGCTTTAATGACATATTTTCCTCCCTCCCTCTTAGTCTATGATTCCTATTTGGCACATGGAGTGAGAAATGGCAAAGATGGCAGAAGGAAGAAAACAAAGCAAATTTGGCCAAATCACAGAGGAGAAAAACAGGAAGAATGAAGAGAAATTTATTTATTTTAGGGAGTGGAGAAGAAGCCCTCTCCCCTCATATAAACAAACTGAATAGCAATGATGTTCAGCAACCTACAATGTTGCAAGAGGCAAGTCAATGAGCAGAATTGGAAAGACAGTAGCTAGATCTCTGTTCCATAACAGTCTGATCTGGAGTGCCATCTAGCGGTACATTGTCTTCTCCTCCTCCTAGGTGGTGGGGGGGAGGGGGGCTCGACAAATCCAAAAGCCGTGGTTTTTCTGCAAGAACTCAAATGTCAGAAGAAATTCATCCCTTACCCAAGCAGCCAATTGTTACAGTTAAAAGCCATACTAAGCTATCCCCATCTTAATTGGCAGATTAATCAACCACAGCTTTAGCTGATTAAGCAAATTTAAATCAATGGTGCTGAGATTGGTGCATATACGGCTTCCACACCCACCACATTTCTCTTTTCTCTGTCTCTCTCCCTTTTCTTCTCCTGCACTTTGTCTGCAGAAATACTGGAAACTTGAAAATGTCCACATTTTAAAAATTAATATTTATAAATCTTCAGCTGATCAAATAAAGGTGTTGCTGTAATGTCTTTATTTTGGATATTTTTTTCCTTGTGGTCAACAAAGCCTTGTTGATTCTGAAGAGTTTTTTTTTTTCTTTTCTGCCAGCATAGCTGCTGAACACTTACGTATTTTTAAAGCTATTTTTAGCTTTGGAGTGTTATTATAATATTTTCAGCATAATACTCAGAATGATCTAAAATTAGGAGAGGAGGAGGAGGAATTTCTTCCATGCTTCAAAAGGACTTGTGCCAATACAGAATGTATTTGTTACCAATTTAGTTTCTTAATGAATGTATTCAGTTTAAATATTGTTTAATCAATGAAATGTTTAACATTTCATTTGTAATAACCCTTGTAATTGTCGAATCACCTAGTTAGCTTACTTATCACAGAGTAGTTGGTTCAGCTGCTATAGCCTCTTGGGGATGATGGGAATTGTAGTCTGGCAGATTTGGACAGTAATAGGTTAAGGACGCTTGCCCCAAGATAAATGAGTTCCCCTCCCGATACAGATGATGGTGATGATGATGAAGAAATTGCTGTCACTCCAAGAATTTGTTTAAACTGGGGACCAGCGGACAATTTCACTGAAGTACAGATCATTTACCAATCTGTACCTCAGTAGAAGACTGCCTAATGCTTGGTGCAAAAGTGCCGCCACTATTTCTGTTTCTTTCTAGTCCCACACTTGCCATCAATTTGTAGGAGAATTTCCCAAGAGTTTAGAATCAGAGACCAGGACTCAATCCCCTTGGAGCACCACTTGGTTTCTTATGGTACTGGAGGTGAAAGACAAGACTACCAGAGTTGGGGTGCAACCCCTCTATATAGACTTATGCAAATCAGAGTGTGCATTTAATCTGTATAGCAATTCATTTGATTGGGTAATGGCACATGCATGTTAATGAGGTCAGAAGGGTGAGAGAATGGAAACAAGGATAATAGCTTCCTTGCGTTAAACAGAGGGGTCTAAGAAGATGCCTGTTCAGATGTTGCTTTCTTCTAAGGATATGTCCTTGCTTTCCCAACACCGTTCTTCTCTCTCTAATGTCTAAATCTACATTTCTTTGCACCTAAATATTTTATGGCTGAGCTAAGAGTTTATTTTCCTGAGACCGTGTACTGGGGGTTAGGATTAGGGTGGCAGATGATACAATTTTTCCCTTTATAACGTTATGAAGGTACTGCTTTATATACTGAGCAACATCAATATGTATATATGTATGTATTGCTGGACTACATATGTAAGACTCGAGGTACAGGGTCACCTGTTTAATTTTTCCTCCATCAACCAACCCCTTACACATATTTATGTTTTATTTATTTGGTTTGAAGGTCTAGTTCTCTGAACTTCTGTTTCTCCCAGATTGGGTTCATTTTTTGAGGGCAGGGGGATTTATTCAAGAAGTAGGGGCCATTCAGGAAAAGCTTCACCACTTGTGATGAATATATCAAAAAGTTCTTGGTTTCTATATCTGGCAGTGGCTATGAGAGTCTGTTTTATTTCACAACTGGATTGAAAGGAAATAGCAGCCCTGGCTGGGAATTCTGAAGGCTGCAGTCACAACTCCTAACCTACAGGAGGGCCAGCAAGTTGGAGAAGACTTAGAAAAAGCACATCCTTCCAAAGTTACACATGATTTATGTTGTGCTAAAATGGCAGCAGCAGAGCATTTCAGGACATAGGTGGGAGCTGAAAATTCACTGGCCAATATCTGCTACAATGCCATTTCTGCACTGTTTGCAATGACATTCAGTTCTTAGGCAAGCACAAAGCTATTTCAGGTGATTCTGAACAAACAAAACATGCTTGATACTCATGATAAATTGGTCTTAGTGACCAGAGGCAAGTATTAATGCAACCACAGTCTTTTATAAGCAGCCAAATGAGATTATCCACTTTCCACATGTACAAAGTCTTCTTTGCTGAATTCTGATACTAATTTTGCTTACAAATTAGGCAGACTTTTTGTTGGGCAAGAGGTTTGGGAGAAACCTTCCCAGTCAACAAGGGACAAGCTAAACACGTAGACAATCATCCTCCAAAAGCAAGAAAACACATGGGAAAACACTTGGATATTGGGCAACAGCCTTCCTCAGTGTTTTGAGAAGCAGGAAGGAGATTTTTAAGAACTATTTCCCACCTATTTAAAACTTCTCTGTCAAAGGATAATGCAATTGTTATTTTCAGCAATTTCCAAAATGGATTCTCAAAAGATCAGCAAATGTGGGGTCATTCCTTTTGGCCTTTAAATAAAACTGCAGCATAGAATCCAAAGGGGGCATTTTATTAATTCTCTGTTTTATCTGGATCCATGCTGCTTTGCTAATAACTTCCACTGGGTGTCTGAAAGAAAACAGCCAAAGTAGTAGAAAAGAGGTATTTCGTACATATAAATAATACAGCAGGTAGGGTATGCCTCTAAGCTAAGTAGCAGTTCAGAGTCATGAAAATAATTGGGGGGGGGGGAGGACAAGTGTTTTTGCCAGGAGGGATTCCAACATACATGTTTTATCAGGTTATCAGCCTGGATGACTTAGGGAAACAATTATGCCAGCTTCAGAGGACTGAATGAGTACAACACACCTAGAGAAGCACCTGGTAGACTTGATAATACCTCATCAGATGCAATAGAAAATGCTGGCGGTTACCTTTAAAACCCTTCATGGTTTCGGATTTGGGTATCTATGAGACAATTATCCTTCCAGTGGTTTCTGTCCATCTAAAAAGGTCTGTCCCCTTAGGAAATGTCATCTTCAGGGATTACAAGACAAGATTTCTCAGTCATGCCCTCCCCTTCTTTGGAACATAATTTTCTCCAGAATTAAACTGGCACCCGTAAGTAGTAATAATTCATTCCCTTGAAGAAACTGTACAACACAACTCACCCCCCCCTATATATTTCTTGCTCTTCTGTCTGTGTCGCGTTTTAAAAGCGTACTAAGTTGCTCGTTTTGGATAATGAAGAGGTTGAAATGCTTTAATAACCAAAGCGCAGGATGAACATCCATCTAAATAAACATTTTGCAGCTAAGACGAATTATGCATACTATACGAAAGAGGTACGGGGGGGGGGGGCTCTTTCCTTTCTTATTCCCTCCTGAGAACGGCAGCAACTCCAGAAGGGTTGCGGTCAGCAAAATTGACAAGGCTGGAGTAGCAATCCAGTTCCGCTCCTTCCTCGCACCGTTTCCACAGGCAGGATGGCCTGCAGTCGCGCGGAACCAAGCGAGGCCATTCATTGTTTCCCGGCAGGCGGGATAAGCGCAGGACCAGGAAGCGGGCAAAAAGAAGCCGCGCGGAGCCTGGCAGCGGCGTCAGCGGGAAGGCCAGAAAAGAGACCCTTCAAGCAAGGCTGCGGGCAGAGGCGGCTTGTAGAGCGGGGAGGCGGCAGCCGCCCCCGGAGCCCAGCCCTGCAGCGGGGAGACCGAAGGCGCTGCGACGCGGCTCCTTCTTCCAGGTGAGCTCCGCGGAGACGCTCTCCGCAATCTCCGTCTGAGGTTCGTAATCGCCTCCCTGCCCTGAAAGGATTCGAATGGGTCCGCTGCGCTCCTCGCCGGCACGGATTGGCTGCGGGGCACCTGGTCGGCGCCGGGCCGCCCTCCGCCGGAGCCCCCTCGTGAGCGGAGACTACGGCTTCCAGAATCCTCAGCCAGGGTGCCCATGCTGCTGGGCGCACTCAACGTGGTCGGCCCGGTGCAGCTGGAAGCTTGCATATTGGAGAACACGGGGGTAGAAAATGAGCGTCTGGGGCTGCCCAGCTGAATCCTGCTTTACTTAATTAACTCGGTGACTTGGGTTTGCCCTCCACAAAAGCAAGCACAACGGATCGCGCTGGGTGGCTTTGTATAACTCCTGCACATAACTAGCATATTTTACCATAGTGTATTAGGTGAGCCCAGCCACCCGTGCACATATACTCATAACCCGAGCTGGCAAATGTTCTGAAAATAAAAGGAAGCTGCTTGATCTGTGGAGGAGAATCTGAAATAGCAAAAGTTACATCAGAATTAAAGGACTAGAAACTGGTTAAGGCCCCAGGCTAGGAAACAGGAGACCTGGGGTTCTAGGCCTGCCTTAGGCACAAAGCCAGCTGGGTGACCTTGGGCCAGTCACTCTCAGCCCTAGGAAGGAGGCAATGGCAAACCACTTCTGAAAAACCTTGCCAAGAAAACTACAGAGGCCTATCCAGGCAGTGGCCAGGAGTTAAGACTGACTTGAAGGCACAAGAAAGAGAAAAAGAAAAAAGAGTGAAATAGGATCTTGGATATGCAGGTTATTGTAATCGAACAGAATGTAGTTTTACAGATGCCCCCACAGCAGGTGGCCTTTTTGATCCATCATCAAATTGGGTGTTGATGGTGAGGAAGGAAAGTAATTAGTATAAAAATAATAAGTAGGATATGTAGACCTTTTAAAAATTGAACATGCAATATTCAAATGCTTGGGTTAGAGCATTATATCTGCCATCTTGCAGATTTTGAGTAACGAGGGAGGCTAAGAAAGACTCCAGTGACTTGCTGAGTATGCTTGTGATTGTGGTGAGATTGATCCTGGACTTTCCTTGATTAATGCATGCTTCATTCTACAGGGTTTACACATTGCACCAAGATACAGTGTTACTTGTTTAATTTTGGCTTAGTTTGTTGAATAAACTCTGTCATTGTGGTTTGTAAAACTTGTTTTTATGGTTAGTGTGTGTAGGTGCTGTTGTTTACAGATTCAAAACAAGAAAACAATGAATGTGGCAGTTGTACAGGTTTGAACACCATTCCAGTTGCTTCACTGCTACTTTTTTTTTTTACAGTGATGTTATGAATAAGGTCTAAAAGGTTATTGACTGATTAGGCCTACAGTTAGCCACTGAATTCCACAAGTGGATTGTGACTCTTCTGTCCTTTCAGGTTGTGATTGTTCTTTCTACTTTCAACAAAGATGGGCTCTTCAAAGCAATTGTCTGAGCATTTGAAAATGAAGACCATTCACTCTTACAAACCAAGGGACAAATTAAACAAATATGTGCCTCCTGTTAGCTACTTCAACTATGAAAAATATTTGCTAAGAAATGAAAATCATTCTGGAACTGTTGAAGCCAAGGCAAGACCTAGAAAAAAATGGTTAGAATTGTCCCCAAACCTGTCATACTTGCAAACAGAATTCACAGATCACTGCATACTACCTGCTGAAAAGGTTAGCTCACAGTGGAGTGTAGTTGTTCACATAAGCATAATTGCTTGTACGGCAGTGATCTGCCTGGAAAGCTATCAAACCGAAACCTTTTTCTGACCTCATCACAAATGTCATTGTCTAAAGTACACAAAAGAAAACCTTGATGAGCCTAAATGTTTGGGAACAAAGTGTTTCGGGCAGTTGGAACAAAATACAACTATTTGGCGAGAACCACACAAAATACATTTGGAGAAAAAGAAATGAAAATTTGAAGAATAAAATACCCTGCAAACCATTAAGCATGGGGTGGTTCTGTTATACTTTGGGGTTGTGAGGGTGAAAAAAAGAATGGATTCAACTAAACACCAACATATCCTAAATGCCAATGCCCTACAATTGGTGAAGAAATTGAAGCTGAAACATATTGGATGTTTCAGTAAGGCAATGATCTAAAACATCTCCAGATCAACTGTGAAGTACTTACCAGAAAGAAAGATAAAGATTTTGGAATAGTCTTTACAATGTAGAAAATCTGGGGGGAGACTTCCAATAGGTAGTGCATTGTAGAAGAGTTCTGCAATGAAGAGTGGGTGACTATCCCAAAAGCAAGAATAAAGACTCTTAGCGGGCTACAAGAAATGACTGGAAGCTGTTATTTTTGCCAAAGAAAATGTTATAAAGTACTGACTGAAAGGGTCACCATCTCTATCTGCCATGTTCACTGTTTTCTTATTTTGAATCTAAACAACTACATAGAAATAGAGTGTATTGAAATTTGTAGGAAGATAATCATATTTAACTTTGTATCATGTAGACATTATGCCAGCTTCTGTTCACTTAGAGTTCATTAAAACATACAATTTGACCAAGGATGCCCAGATGTGTGTGTAACTGCATAATAAAGCATGGGGCTGCAATGAGTTAGGGAAAACTAAAGATTGCCTTGAAAACTGCAAGTGCCTTGAAAACTGCAAGGACTCGTCCAAGCAGTCACTGCAGAGTCGGTAACGACTGAGCGCAGATTAAAAAAAAAAAAAAAGATTGCATTGGAATCACAAACCATCTTTTAGCCTAGTGTATTGTGTGAAATGCAATCCATGTAGTTTATGATTCTTTGTGCAGTGTGAATCAAAAAAAAATTGGGCTAATTGAGTAAACCATAGTTAATCATGAAAACATAAAGTAAAAAAAACCTGGCTTCCAATTATATAATCCCTCTACTCCCCCATTGGAATTTGTTTTCTATGAAATACATGTTTATGAGTATCTACATTCTGACCCCAACAGCCATTTTATGAATGGGTAACCCACCAAGGCAGCTATTTTGGGATTCTGGCCCTGATACTTTGTAGACATTTCCATTTTGTCTTTTAACCTAAAAAGGTTGAGACATCTGAGGTAGAACATTAAAATATTTTTAAAAGGAACATTTAAATCCAAAGAGTACTTCATGGTCAATATTATTTCCAGTCTTTAGATTATTTACATAAAACTATTATGTGGTTATACACTGATTAACTTTAAATCTATTATCTATTTTTAAGAATATTCATCTTTCTTTTTTATAGTTTACCATGCAGAGGTCTTTTTTCACATCGGAACTGTACACCGTGCTGTAGAATAAAACCTAAACATGGCCAAGGTGATCACAATGCTTCAAACCCTCAGAAATCATTGGAAGAAGACTACAGCTGGGATCTGTCTGCTTACATGGGGAGGAAACTGGCTTTATGGAAAACACTGGTAATTATAGAATCTTTCAATGATTGGATTGGATTTTTTTAAAACAACTAAAGGCCAAACTAGAAGTGACAAAAGAGCTATCCCCTAGTTAGTCTTTGCTCTTTGTTGTATCAAGGAACGTTTTGAATCAGAGCAGTGAAATGAGTAGATAAAGAGGAATGACCCTCCAAGCTGATTTTTCTCTCCATCCTGTGAAGCTATATGGATTTGATAGCTTTTCCCAGTAGCATAGGAAAGCAGATTAGAGAATTTTAAAGAGTTTGTGGATTTGCTTGTGGATGTATAATCTGAGAATCAGTCTATAAAACTATGAATGGTTTTAGCACTTGGGTCAGCAAGAGACTGAATGTTCATTTTATGAATCTGTGAGAGAGAAACATCTTTAGGTAAAGCTTATGCACTTCATTATTTCATATTTTTTTCTTAGGAACCAGGATGAAAAATTATTATGAGGAAAGGAATAATGCATTTTAGATTAGATTAAATTAAATATAGTTTTTAAAACATCAATTAGTTTTAAGGTCAAAATTGAACGATGGTATAATTTGAAGTGTGCAGTCTTTATTTAGATTTACTGATTTAAAAGGAGACTCCAGAACCATGTAATTCAATTATTATCTGCTACTAAATGTGCTAAAGACAGCTGTATCAGGTAGTTAAAATGACGTATTGGAACTGTTAGCTTTAAACTTGCAGAGCTGTTTAATTTTGACTGTTGTACATTGTAGTGCAGAAGACTCCAGAATATAGTGAATAGGTATTCAAATTAATACACGTGAAACTATGTTGAACATTGTGTGAAACAGTTGGTAATAAAATTTTTAAAATGTATTGAGCAAATAAGTTTTGGTTGTTTCTGACGTCAGAGGCTGCATCACCATGCTTGATTGGAATTGTACAATATCAGATTAAGAGTTTAAGAAAACCTTGTCTGTTTCTTACACTGAGCTTCTAATGCAAGGGTGCTGCTGTAACTCATCATTGCTTTGAATTAGCCTTAACTCCCTAGAATTAGCCAGCATAGGTAATGTCTCCTCATTAATTGTTGAAGGAGAACTTTTCCCACAGGACATGGGGGAGTGCAAAGATCCAGTGCCAAATATTTGTCCAATTAGCATTTTATTCTCTGAACATAACATTGGCTGTGAAATTTGATTTCTTTAGAGCAAAATTATAGGCAAAAATTGGCTTCTTTTCACCATTCAAAAAAATTCTTCCAAATTTTCCTTCAGGGGAAGCTCCCAGGAATCCCATCGACATTTTTGATGAAGAGAATTTTTAAAATGAGGAAAAAGAGCACATAAGGGAGAGGATTGTATATGTTCCCCCATGTCATTATCCTAATCCTGATTTGGCCATCCCACCATAGCTGTTCTTCATTAAAAAGTGGAAAGGAATTCTAATAATGGAATTCTAATCAGATTTTAATTCTTCTCTGAATTAAAATTGAAAGGACAGTTTCTACTAGGAAGGCAGAAATGATGCAGATATGTGCAGAATAGTCAACTATAGAAATGTGTTAGGATCAAGTTTATATTAGATTTGATCATAGTACCTGCAAACAATGGTATATCCAGTAAAGGCCAACTTCCCTCCACCTCCCTCCATTGGTTACCTGAACTGCTTTTACTCTTAGGAAGTTTCTTCTAACATTCATCCAGAATATGCCTTCCGATGACTTAAAAGCATTACATTTCACGCCCTCTACTCTGGGATGATAGAGAACACATCACAGCCTTCATCTGTGTGGTATCATTTCAGGTATTTGAAGCATAGTATAGTATCTCCATGCTTAACGTGCCCCGTTCCCTCAATCTGTCCTCATAGGACTTAGTTTGAATGCTTGAATTGTTCCTGATACAATAATACAGGAGTAGGCAGTGTGGTGCTCAAGGAGCACCAGTTTATTTCATTTTTAAATAGTTTTAATTATTATTATTTTTTAATGGGAGACAGGCATGCTGCAAAGCAACACAGAGGCCTTTAAGCATCATTATCTTTATTTGCAAGAATGCCTCATTGGCTCTGGTAGATAGCGGTAGCCCACTTTTCTTTTTTTTTTTAAAATAGCAGAGGGGGGTTGAGAACAGAAGCTGCTGCCAGTGGTAAGCGTAGACTGGACTTTATGAGCAGCTGTCATGAGCACATTTCTTAAATCCGTGAGAGCCACTTCAAATAGGACTACGAAATCCAGTCTGCAGATGGAGTAAATTACTCTGCCCTTCTCACCCATCAAGAAGATGGGTGAAGACTTGCTTATGCAATAGTGAATGAATGAAATAAACAAATAATAAACAAACAAACACTTGCTTATGCAATAGTGCCATCAGCACTGTCATCCTATTTTGGCTTTGACTGAGCATTGTCATTGAGACAATATCTACTAATGTCCACTTGGCCTCTCTGACTTGCCTGGGTGGAAATGAAATCAGTTTTACAATCTGGCCAAGAAATTTCTAGGAGACTCAGTAACCTTCAGGTCTGGGTATTCTGATTTTGCTTTTGGATCAACGTGTTTTTTTCTGTGACCTGCAACTTGTTAAGCATCAGTTTTAGTTAATGAAAAATATTACAAAGAACCCTCTGCTTCCAGGTCGGCTTTCCTTAGCAGAAATTTGCCATATAAAGGCTGCTCTGAACTGCCAGCCATTAAGGAATGGCTTGAAACAGGTTGAGCACCTGCAGTATTGGTCAATCATCTGTCCATGTTCCCTTTTATAAAAAGCTAGGCACCCTAGATTTCCAAAAATGTACCCAACTCATGTTTTTAAAAGTGGGCCAGTTGGAACCTGTTCAGGGTTGGCCACTTTATTTTCCAGGGATAAACATCCGAGCAAATTTACTCAAGGCAAGCCATGGTGACTTTTCTTATGAAAATACTACAGAGAGCATCTACTTTTCTGATCTCTCTTTCTGATGGCCAATTCATTTACTGTGAATTAAAGATTAGATATGTGTTGATTCTGATTACTTGATTCCCTAAGCTCCTGATCTCCCTTTTCCAAATGTCCTGGTCAGTCAAGCCAGCCTAGGCATTTGGAAAATAATTTGTTAAACTAGAAAGCAGCCAAGCAGCACTGTATTAGCTGGAAGTAGCTGGGTTTTGGATCTGTTCTTGCCATAAAGTGGAAGTGGCACTTATAACTCTCTGAAAGCTGTATTTATAATGACATCACATTTTTCCTGTATGCTGTTATTTTGAAAAAGTCTGTTGGCTTTTGCAGGTGATGATAGCTCAGTCAGTTGGTACATTTCCAAATATAAGATCTACTTTCTCTCTCTGGCATTAATTATTGATTTATTGTAATAATTGCCATTTTTTACAGGTAGTCCTCACTTAACAATGGTAATTGGGATTGGAATTTCCATTGCTAAGTGATGCAGTCGTAAAGCACAATGTCACATGACTGCGCCACTTAGCAACAGCAGTTCTGACAGTCCCCCATTATCATTGTTAAGTAAGGACTGCACAGGTCATTAAGCGAGACCTCACATGACTGCGACTTCCAGGTTCCCCATTGATTTTGCCTGTGGGAAACCAGCAGGGAAGGTCGTAAATTATGATCATGTGACTGCGGGACGCTGCAATAGTCAGAAATCCAGGCTTGTTGCCGAGCATCTGGATTGTGATCAGATGACCATAAGAGTGCTGCGATGGCTGGAACTTCAAGGACCAGTCATAAGTACTACTCGTTCAGTGCCGTTGGAAGTTTGAGCGGCTGCTGAACGAGTGGTTGTTAAACAAGAACCACCTGTACTGCATAATGGAGATAATTCTCTGTTATTTTCTTTTGAACATCAAGTAAAAGCCTGCCTGCCTGCCTACCGTTCTCATTCTCATTCTCATTCTCATTCTCATTCTCATTCTCATTCTCTTTCTCTT